TGGCACTCCTTTCCTGCATGTCAGAGCCATCGTTCCCCATGTGACCAGGTTTGCCTGTCCAGGGTACAGTGGTAGGGCTGCGATGCGGCTGTGTTGTCCTACTTACTGCTCCATCCCCTGCCTTCTCTGTCACCCACTGCTTGGTGGCCTGTTGGTCACCTTTGCCTTCTGTGCTGACTGTTGTGGCAGTGCCAGGCGTAGGAGGTGTTGGGCATTGCCATCTGCTCCACAATTGCGGTCAGAACGTCACTCTTCCCAGAAGTCTGACCGCTGATGCAGTGCATGCATTTCCTGGTGCTGCCTTGGCTCTCATGGGAAGGTTTCCCCAGCCATGGCTGCTGTGGTTGACACAGTCTGCAGTCATAGTCTGATAAAGCAAGTGGACTCCCTCCTGCCATGTTTAATTATAATCTTTCAAAGAAAGTGGATTTGTTTTTTCCAAGACAAGTTTTCTCTGTGTCTCTCTAGCTGTCCTGTAACTAGCTCTGTAGACCATGCTGGCCTCGAACTCACAGAGATCACTGGGATTAAAGGCGTGCGCCAATCAATACACTGTCTGCGAAAGTGGATTTTAGTGAATGCGTATGTAAACCCATTTCTGGCTCTTTGATTCGGGCTTCTCTGCTCTCAGTTTAGGTGGATGTGGAGCTGGCCTTCTGCTCACAGCCCCTGGCTGGGTCCCGGTTTTGCTGTGCCCAGGGCTTCTGAATGCTGGACTGTGCCCCCGCCTGCCATGGGAGCGTCTAGGAGCATGTTCCCAACGAGCATGTGGTGTCTCTGATTTTTGTTCCCCTGGGTGCTGAGGCTGTGTTCAAAACTGTACTTGGACGGTTTCCAGTGCCTTAATTCTGGCCTGGAGCTTGACAAACCCCTGGTGATCTTTCCAGGATGGGTACTGGAAGCCCCATTTGCTTATTAGTGAGGATTAGCTCTCAAAGGTCATTCTCTTCATGGTGATTTAATGCAGTGGGTTCTCCTTCCCTGGGGGATCACAGCCTTCTGAGTCTGTCGTCTCACTAAACCATGCAGCTAATGGTTCTGATGAAACTGTCTCCCCTTCCAGCCAGGGAGCTTTTCTTTAGGGGTGTTTGACAACATCAGGAGATCCTTCAGATGGTGAGGACTAAGTGATTCTGGCCTGGGTGTTTAAAGCCAGAGATGCTTACTGTGCATGGCACAGTGCACAGTGGTGGCACTGGATGGAGGCGGAGAAGTCACCGTGGCAAGTGACCATAGAGCAGTCCCCTTTTAGACAGGCTTCAGGGCCTTCTCCCTATCGTGTAACCCGTCTTTAGAGAGGCATGTTGATGTATTTAAGGCATCCACTTTGGGAGACACCTACACGGACGGAATGCAATGAAAGTCCCTCGTAACTAAAGGTATAGGGCCAAGACCAATGTAGAAGTCCTTGGGCTCTTTGCCATGCTACCTTATGGGTGAGTACCAGCAAATAGAGAAGGCTCTTAGGGTCTGCTAGGGTGGTCGCCTGTACCTTGTGTTATATCAGGAAAGAGGAAAGGGGCAGTTGTTAAGGTTTTTCTAATGCATCTGGCCTTCATTATTTTAATAAGTCAACACTAATTAACTCGGTGATTTAAAAATCTAAATGTAACTTTGCAGATGTAAAAAGCAGACTTACTTTATTTCATGCTTGTTTGCTGCGTGTGCGTCCTGTGGGCTCACACCCATAACACAGTATGGATGACATCAGCAGCTGCCCAGACTCTATGAGCTGCATCCCCTTCCTGTTGGGGCCTGGAGTGTGTAGGATTGCTCAAACAGCTGATTGCAGGCTGCCACCTTCTCGCTGCTGGTGTTGGGCTCTGCACGTTACAGGCTCTGACTTTTGGCCCCCAGCCTGGGAGAGCTGGGGAGACCTTTGCTGCATCACAGATGAAGCCTTGCTCATACACTGCAGCCCGAGAGGGGCTTGAGGCCTGTCACTGCCGTCCTAGAACATGCTCCCCCCCAGCAGCAGGAGGGCGTCCTGTGTGCATCCTGTCTTGTAAAGAGAACACTTACCTAGAAGGGGCAGCAGCTGTGATGTTTGGAATTCCTTCATAGTCGTGGTGTGCACGGCAGGGCTCCTTCACGCCCACGTTCTTTTTTGACACATAAACCAGGGTCATGTTTTATGGGTAGGTGTGTGTATGATATTTTAAAATTTACATTTCAAAAATCATTAGGAAGCTATCCATACCTTTCCACATGATTCTTTATAAGAACAAATTCAGCTTACAGTGAGGCGCAGCCCTCTAGAGTGTGGAAGAATGAGCTCCGCTCTGCCTCTGCTTGTGTCTGGTTCATTTGTTTTTGTGAAACCTGGTCTTAGTGTCTGACTAGCCTGTTCTCAAGCTCCTGGGCACGTGCAGTCCTCCTGCCACAGACCACCCGCCCGCCTCCCTGTCCAGCGTGTCTGTTGATTGTTTTGTGTGAACTCTGTGAGGATCCAGGTGAGTTGCAGGTTAAACTTCTTCATTTGAGGGTTTATGAAGTGTAAGTAGAATTTTATTTGTCTCTGTGGGCCATTTGGGGCCTGGGCTCTGTCCTCCCTTGACTGCTGTCCTATGTGTGACCAGAGACTGGCCAGGATCCACGTCCCAAGGTGAGCATTGAGGACAACACTTGTAATTGGGATGTGGGATGTAGCTCTAGTCACATGTTCTTGGCCAGGTTCTGGTCTTAGCAGCAAAAGAAGCTGACATGTCCTCACCCAAGGTTCTCCTGCAGAATGGAAGGGCAGAAGATAGCTCTCAGGCCATAGTGGGTCACAGCGTCACTAGTGTTGTTTGTGGAAATGCTGGAGTTTCTGTAGGGACATGTGGAAGCTGATAAAAGGGTGGGGCTTTTTTGTTTCTTTGTTTTTTTTTTTAAACATTTCTGATGGTTTATTTAACTTTATTTTATGTGCATTGGTGTGAAGGTGTCAGATCCCCTGGAACTGGATCTTCAGACAGTTGTGAGCTGCCATGTGGGTGCTGGGAATTGAACCCGCGTCCTCTGGAAGAGCAGTCAGTGTTCTTCACCGCTGAGCCATCTCTCCAGTCCCCTTTGTTTTTGTTTTTTGAGACAGGGTTTCTCTGTGTAGCACTGACTGTCCTGGAACTCACTCTGTAGACCAGGCTGGCCTTAAACTCACAGAGATCCCCCTGCCTCTGCCTCCCCAAGTGCTGGGATTAAGACATGTGTCACCACCCAGCGATGGCGATTTTAAATTTGATCAGTACTGACTAATTGTTTTCCAAAGTTTTTTGATTAATTTCTGCTCCCACCAGCATTGAGTTAAACATAATCTTTGTCATTATGAAGCATCATTTATCTTTTATCTTTCTTTCAATTCTGCTGAAGAAAAGCAGACAGAATTGTGTAGGAGGGTGGGTAGAGTGACTCCCTTTGGCTGCCATTCAGTTGATGCTGCACAGCTCGTGCACAGCTCGCTCCCCACTCACCGCCATTGATGTTTCTTGTTACTCCGTTTGCTGTGCATCTCATTCACCTGACCATTGCTGGTCTGCAGCAAAAGCTCACACACACCTTCTAGACATAAATCTCTTGTCAGCTCTGTTGTGACTCCTTCTTCCAAAGCTGCCAGTCAAAGTGTGTGTTTATATCTCCTGTTTCTTTCAAACCTCTAGATTTTGTGACTTGTTTAAGATGGTTTTTCTTACATCTCAGTAAATAAAAATATTCTGCTTTTACACTTTTAAATTCTCGCTGCTTTTTTGGGTACAGCATGTGTGAGGCAATATCAGATGGTTAGTTAGATTCCAGCATTACCCATCGAATCATTCATTCTCTCTGTTTCATTACAGTTATATATGTGGGTCTGTTTCTGGGCCTTCTCTCTGTTGCTTTGTTTGTCTCGCCCTCACTAATACCAGCCTGTAATTACATAAATTTATAGCCTATCTAATATCTGCTAGTGCGAATCTCTATTCATTATTCTTTATTAAACTCTTTCCCCCTAATTTTGTGCCGTTTCTCTTCTGCACTTACTTCAGAATCAGCTTGTCAAATTCCATTAGAGGAAAAGCCCCTCGGGCATCTTGATGGGGCTGGCATTGCTGTATAGAGCCATTGGCAGGAACCGGTGTCTTTAGCATCCTTCGGGGAGTGTTTATTTAGAGAGAACATTTCCAGGTGTTCTCTCAGAGTCCTGTGATTGTAAACAATCTGCCAAATGAGGACAGTGACAGGAGGAAGAGCCAGAGCCTGGATGGAGTGCTCCTTGCCAGAGCTGGCAGCACTCGTGTTGTCCTTGGGAGAAGGCTGTGCCTGGCTCTCTGTTGTGTGGGGCAAGCTCCTGCTGGCCCTGGACACTCCTTCTCTGCAGGCCTTATTTGGCTGTCTTGTCTTGTGTTAACTGTAGTTAACTCCAGAGTTAGTGTTTGTGACTTAGCTACTAGGAACCAACTGTCTGGTTCACCACTTAACTGTTGATGTCCAAGCAAGGGTGAGTAACTACAGGGTAGTTTTTTTTTTTTTTTGTTGTCGTGTTGGTTTGTTTTGTTTTGAAATAATTGCCTTAAAGCATTGGCTTAAAAGAGGCTTTTAAGCCTTTCATTAGACTAGAATTTTCTCTCCTGTTACCTACTAGCAGTCAGGTAAACAGTACCCCTCAGTCACTTCGTGTCAGTATGTCACTGTTGTGTGATCAGCTCAGGGTCATGCAGATGCCATGGCTGGGGGATGGGAGGAAGGGCTTCCAGAGTGGGTGTGAGTTCCCATTCACTGTCTCTGGGCGGGAGCTGTTGAATCCAGAGTATAAAGGCTGCTGGCGTGAGCGCGAACAGCTCCTGCCCTGTGGTATTGCTGGAGTAAGATGTCACAGCCGTGGAAGTGAAACTCGGTGTGTGCTTTTCTCTCTCTATATATATATAGTGAGGAGTGGCTGCTCACAACCAGACACTGTGCCCTGCTTCCTCCGGTGTCAGGTGCTAGTCAGCAGCCGGGGCTCTTGAAATGTCCGCATAACCATGTGACCTGTGCTTGTTTTCCAGAACTACACACAGTACATCCCTCTGTCCATATATGACCTGCAGACGTGGATGGGTAGCCCATCCATCTTCGTCTACGACTGCTCCAATGCTGGCCTCATCGTGAAGTCCTTCAAGCAGTTTGCACTGCAGCGGGAGCAAGAGCTGGAGGTGAGGTAATCAAAGGCCAGCACCGTGAGTGCATGTGTGGACGTGCATGTGTGTGCGTGTGGGGGTGTGGGCATGTTTGAGCCTGTGTGGATAAGGTGCTGTAGGAAACTGGGAAGCTGGGTCTTTGTGTGACAGAAGGCTCACTGTTGAGGCTGAGGTGGGACGTTGGGTGAGAGCTGGGGAGGTGCTTCTTATGCCCCATGTGCGTGCCATTTTAATCTGAATGTTAGGTGATGTTAATAGGGCAGATCTGTACGTCAGTGGTTTTCCTCTGAAGCTAGTGTTGAAAAACGGGCTCGTTTCTTTCATTCTAGTCTTCGTTTCCGCAGGTATCCTTGGCTATTGTTCCATTTCCCCCTTTTAAGTTTTATGTCTTTTAACCCAAGCAACTAAATGGTAAAACCAAAACAGCTGCTAGGTAGGTCCATTGTTGGGAATTGGAGTCTGGGAGCTGCTTGGATAATGAAGTGATGTTTTGCCCGGTTGTTTTAATTAATATTTGATGGTTAAATTAAACAGTGAGTTCTAAAGAGAAATTGAAGAGGCAGTTTCAATTAAGAGGCCTCCATCCAGTGGGCTGCACAGAGGCGCTAGTGAAAGGCTCTGCCTCTGGGGGCTCATGAGTTCTGATTGGTTGCAGCACAGGAAGTTCTCAATCCAAGAACAAAAAAATCGCCTTCAGTGTGTTTCCTCGAGCCTTTTTGGATTTATTCAGTTTCAACGTGTTTGTTATGTTTTTTGCATTTCGTCAGAGGAGAGTACTGAGGGAGTCAGCAACAAAATTTGAAATTCTGTTTAGTAAAACTTAAGGTTAACATATCTACTGTTCAATATTTTATATGTGTGAATTTAGCCCTGTGTAGAAGTGACTGATAAAATAATGCCCTTTCCCCTTCAGAGTGTAACTGAGCGCCACAGCATTGCTCCCAGGCCTCTTAAGAGGAGGGAACAACTGCTGTTTGTTAGCCGCCATCTCGTCAGGTTTGCCCAGGCCAGGCCAGCTCACCAGCAGTGAATACCCCAGTGCCAAGAGGCACTTTGTGTCTGTAGATTCCAAGTAAAAATATTTAAAGAATTTTGTTTTAATTTATAATGTCAACAAAGGTACCAAAGACTCCTCCTGCCTGCCTACCAAGTAGTCTGCCTGTTCCTGAGCTGTAAGAAGTGGTCAGCCCATTCACCTAGTTAATGAAATCGCAGTGGTCAGGAACCTACCCTCTTCCAGCAGAAGCACGATTGCAGCTCGAGCACCCTACAAAAGCCTGCTTTCCAGTGCCCTGGTGCTGCTCTGTCAGGACCACGTGTGTGCTTTCCAGCGCTATGGAGCTGCTCTGTCAGGACCACGTGTGTGCTTTCCAGCGCTGTGGAGCTGCTGGCAGGACCACGTGTGTGCTTTGCAGCGCCGTGGAGCTGCTCTGTTAGGACCACGTGTGTTCTCTGTGTGTTGCCAAGGATTAATCAGCCACAAACACTGTTCACTTCATTACGTGCAGCACAGTGACTTACATGCATCATTTTTTAGAAGTTTTTTTTTTTTTTAAAAAAAGAAACCAGTTTGAGTGGACTCATTCATCATGAAGGAGATCAAACGGAGGAAACAGTAGTACATGGAATGAGGTGGCGTGTTAAGCCATGTGTTTCATAATTAGCTCAGCTTTTATCTTCATTCTCTTTATAATTGCAGTGTAGCCTGAGCTTGCGTTTCTCTTTCACACTTAATATTATTGGCCATTGTTCAGTCTCTTGCATAAACAGCGGAAATTAGAATATTAGAATTTTATAAAATTGGCTCCCAGCTAATACCTTAGTGTTGGTTAGTCATTTCACTCTTACATAGAGAAACAATTCTATGTAAATTGTTAGGTTATCGTCTTGGTGTGTTCTCTTCTGACTAGGTGTGGTGGCACGTGCCTGAAGTCCCAGCACTGCACTGGGGAGGTGCAGACCAGAACTCAGGCCCGTCTCTGATATATGGGGCCTGTTTTCAGTAACTAAAGACCTAACCCAGCATGCTTCCCGTCTCTGTGCTGGCCATTTTCTTTGTAAATTTGCAATATTTGTTGATACTTTTCGTTGTGCAATATGTGAACTGATAGAAATTGTTCAGTAGTTGGTTTGTGCCTGTTTTTGGAATGAAGTATTTTGCTGCTGTTCTGGTTTTCACTTGAATGGGAATGACAACCTCCCTGTCCTTGTGGCAGCCAAGATCCAATTGGGGGAAATGTCTGGAGTGTGTGGGGGAGGGCAGAAAAGCGTGAAAATGATTAACTATAACACCAAAAAGTAGCTGGGTGGACCAGAAGCCCCCAAATAATAAATGTAAACACACACATGAGTGACATAAATTTTAAGGGTTGATTATCTGCTTTCGTTTTCTGGTGGTGTAGTGCTTGCTCTGGGACCCTGGGGTTTGGTTGCTGTGTACTTGTCTCTCTCAGAGGAATTCTGGAGGTAAAGGAGAAGGCAGCTTCATAACAGCAAGCATGAGTTACTGCAGCAGACTGACGCTTCATCAGAGCCAGGAAATGGGTATCTGCCACTCAAGAGCCTTTCTTATTTTTTTATTATATCATGTGGTTTTGTAATTTGAAAAATTAAAGAAAGCCTTTAAGTCTCTCTGCTTTCACTGTTCTTTAAAATAAGTGCTTTAATTTTGACTAAAATAATTATGTCTCCTTTAAAAGTTAAAAAGATTACATTTGTGATGACTAAAGCAGCCCTTGGCTCTCCCTTCCCAGGCAGGGGCCCTGCCGGCCTCTTTACAGCCTAGGTTGTTTGTGCACGAGCTTCCTGCCCTTACACAGTTCAGAAGCACAGCTGCCATTGGGGGCTTCCTCCTTAAGGATTAGAGGATCTGCAGGCCCAACAGTACGAACCTGTGATTTCAGCAACTCAGGAGGCCAAAGCAGGGGTGTTGCAAGTTCAAGACCTGTCTGGACTACATGGTGGGTTCAGAGCCAGCCAGGAGGGAGTTAGGGAGACCCCTGTTGCAAAAAAAAAAAAAAAAAAGGTAAATGGGCAAGCGAGGTGGCTCAGTGGATAAGATGCTTACCATCGAGCCTGACAGCATGTGTTTTGATCTCCAAACCCCACATGGTTGGAAGAAGTGAATTAGGAACCAGATGGAGGCCTGATAGTGGAGAGTCTGGTAGTTGTAATTAACGTTTATTTTTGTCTGATTGTGCATTCGAAAGAGAAACCTCTCAGCTGACAGGTCCTTGTTGCCAGCTTCTGCCTCTGTCTCTCTCTGCTGCTCAGTTGTAGTGCCGTATTTAACTTCTCTGTGGTTTGTGACCTTGGCTATATTTTAATATACCGTTTTATTAATTCTTTAGGAATTTTATGTAATATCTTTTGATCATATTCACCACACCACTCCTCCCTAACCTCCTCTCAGACCCATCCACTACTTACTTCCCTGTCTCCCTGCTCTTTTTAAATAGCCCACTGAATCCAGTTTGTCTTGCCCCCCCCCCTACAAAGATGGTGTGAGGCCATCTTTGTCAATCAACTGAGGCCATACTCTTAAAGAAAATTGACTCTCCCACTCCCAGAAGCCATTAACTGTGAGTAGCTCCTCAGTTAGGGGTAAGAGCTTGTCTCACACTCACACACACACACCTGCTCCATTCTGTCTTGTTGAGTGGTTTGATCTTGTGTAGGTCGTGTGCAGGCAACCACAGCTGTTGTGAGTTCATCAGTGCAGTAGCCCTGTCGTGTCCAGAGGACACTGTCTCTTTCAAGTCCTCCCTGGCTTCTGGCTCTAACAATCTTTCCACCTCCTTGTAGGCAGAGGCTGCTCACACGTTTCTTGTCCACTCAGGCCCAAATAATCACACAGAAACTTTATTAATTACAACACTGCTTGGCCTATTAGCTCAGGCTTATTAATTAAGTCTTGCATCTTAAATTATCCCATTTCTATTAATCTGTGTATTGGCATGAGGCTGTGGCTTACTGGTAAGAATCTGGTGACTGTCTCCTTCGGCAGCTACTTAGCATCTCTTTGACTCTGCCCACTCTCGCTATATATCTCTGTTCGGATTTCCCCACCTGACTTTATCCTTTTAAGCCATTGGCCAAAACAGCTTTATTCATTATCCAATAAAAGCAGCACATACACAGAAGGACCTCCCACATCACCTTCTCTTCCTCTGTGGTCTCTGAGTGAAGTTAGTGATGTAGATGTCCCTTTTATGGCCAAGCACTCACTTCACTGATACTTGCTTTTGTGTGTGTGTGTGTGTGTGTGTGTGTTGTTTTGTTTTGTTTTGCTTTGTTTTGAGACAGAGTTTCTCTTTGTAGTCCTGGCTGTCCTGGAACTCTGTAGACCAGGCTGGCCTCAAACTCTGCCTCCCGAGTGCTGGGATTAAGGGCGTGCACCACCACTGCCCAGCTGACACTCTTTGCACTTTGATTACTTGTGCATCTCTGTTACTATTCACAGCACAGAGAAACTTCTCTGATGAGGTCTGAGCGCTGCACTTTTCTATGGGTGCACAGTTACAAATTTAGAAGCCAGTTTGATGCTTCTAATGCTATGTCTGTTAGTAGATTAATAGTAATAGTCTTGCTGCATTAATGTTGTTGTTAGCAGGTCTGTTCGAGTCTCAGCAGCTGTGGTCAGTAACTTCCATGTTTAAGGCTCTGAGCTCCTTTTTCCTTTGCCTCTCATCTTCCCAGATGTGATTTCTGTCACCCGTGATTTTTCTTATATTTATCTTTTGTTCCCAGCTGTAGTCAAGTCTTGTGCTTGGTGTGTGGAAATTCTGAAAGATGGCAGACATTGCCAAGTATGGGGCTGGGGAGATCGCTCCTTCCCTTTGTATTAGAAGCTGGTACTTCCAGGCTCCGGGTTCCCCTGGCACTAGTGTTCCTCACCTGCTCCTGCTGATTGTTCTGGACTCACCTCTCCCTTCTGGTTACTCGGCTTTGTTCTGCTAGTGCAGCCCAGGCACCAAGCCCGGAGGATGGATGACAGCAGTCTTCCTGGGCCCAGA